TACCAGAAATTCCAAAAGTGGTCTGGATTGACAAAAGTGCACATTACATTACCCTAATTATTCATAAATTTGGGCTAAGGAAACATAGGAAAGTGAGAATCAAAATAACCATATTTACCCGTGTATAACGCTTCATGGCTTCTGCGGACTAACTGGTGACAAAGTCGGCAATGGAGAAGAAGGGTCTAATGCCATAATATCAGCTTTCAACATAGGCTTTCACGCCAGGGCAATACTATTAAATTCACTCCACAAAAATCTCCCAGCGTAGCCATCTTGTTTATGCCCACCTGCAAACAATTTGACACGATGTCCATTTACAGGCAATAGAGACCTTTAAGATACGAAAACGAGGAGATCTAGGACGGCCACCAGAAGTAAATTTGACCTTTAACACATGCACACGAGTACCTACCACCCAGCCCATTCTTGTCCTGGTCTTGCAGAGGACGACATATCTGGCCTTTTGCTGTCCTGTCGAGAACGCGAGTAGTCTTATTATTTTGATTCATAAAATAGCAGAAGGCAGAAGCAACATTTTTTTTGAGGTTTGGAAAAAGCATTTCATGAATGTGACATTTGTAGTGACTTCAAGCTATAAAGTGATAATTGCCGTGTAGAAAAAGTATGTAAAAATGTGTTTGTTTTCGTCTCAGTGTCTGATCATCATGAGTGTTTCAGCTAAGAAGATCCATTCTCCGAGGGTACTGCACGTTAAACAAACAAATTATAATAGTATCAGTAGGTCTTGAATTCAGTTGCCAGCGACTAATTACTTTTTCTTTTGTACATCTGTTCATGACACAAAGGGGATTGTCTGTTGGAGTTCACAACAGAATTAAAATCGGAAAGTACAAAAACATAAGCATCCTTTTTTTTACATTTGTATTAGTTCTTCATTTGTGTTTATTACTATCCCTATGGCTGCGAAATAGAAGGTATAAACATTTAACAGGTTGGAACTTGGCTCTTAATTGTTATCCACGCAAGCTCAAAGCATATGGCGTATCACAGAACAGTGTAAGATTTCTAGCAAGCTACTTAATAAATTGATTTCAGAGAGTAAAGATTGGTGATGCCTACTCCAGTTGGCTATCTCTTCATAAGGGCGTGCCTCAAGGGTCTGTTCTCAGACCCTTATTATTTAACATCTTTCTCAAAGATTTCCTACTCTTGCCGACCAACTCTAATATCAATTCGTATGCTGATGACACTCAACTCTTTCTCCATGGATTAAACCTATTACAATTCAGACTGCCCTGCACAGTGACTTGACTCTAGCATCTGATTGGTTTCAGGCTAATGGTATGACAACTAATCCAAGAATATGTCTCTCTATGTTGTTCGGAATTGACATTAATGATCTCTCTGTTTCACTTAATGGCACTGTCATCGATATTGCCAATACAATGAGACTTCTTGGTGTCGGTATCGATAAAGATCTTAATTTCAATGTTCCAGCCTGCATAGCTGGTGGTATTGTGTGGGTGCGAGATTAAAGTTTTGGTGGTGGAGCCGTGTTCCAAAAAAAGGGAGTAGAGACGAGGCGGTTAAAATACCGCCTGCCAGAAAACCCCGGTATTTTGAATAGTCTGCACACCAGTGTGCGGAGAAACGGATTGGTCAAGGGCCATACATATGTCAATCATGTTAGATGATCCTTTGCATATATTTCCCAATTAAGGGAGCAGATGGCAAACTGGAAAAGACGTAAGTGAATGTGGTGTCCCCTATAAAAAGAGCATAATTGATCACCAATTGCCGAAGTGGCATCTTTAAACTTCGCAGCGCTGGAATTGTCTTTATTTAGCCATAAGAAACAAAGGTCAAAGAAAATTAAAACACTTTACAACTGCATCTGAGATCAAATCCTATCAGGAACACCTACAGAAGAATACACCACAGGAAATGGTTACTCAGTATGCATGTAACAAACCAGCTTCGTGACCTTTTAACGTTAAGCCTAGTGTAGCAAAAAAAGATTTACTCAGTGAAAGTTTAGAATGATACATGTACTGTGTAGCATTAGTAACCTTCGTGCGAGAGCCAAGAAAATAAAAAAAACCTCTGTTCAAGCAAACTCACAAGGTCACGTTTCACATTATCACGAGCTTAGGAGTCGTGTTTAGCCTGTCAACGCTTATTTGTAAACTATCTTGCGCAAAAATAATCGGAAGTTTCAAATTGCAGGTTTCTCTCTGATTGGTTGATTTAATTGGGATCATCTAAGATGACAAAAGTGGGTGGCATTTGAAAAATCATGGTTCTCTGGCAGGCGGTATTTCTCGCAGCTTCCCCGCTCGTGACGGCTCCACCATCAAATCTCACTCGACTGTCTTCAAAAGCGTTGGAAATATCTGTATTAAAATGTTAGGATTAGCGTCTGGGATAGAGAAATTTGTTTGGGGTGAAAGTGGACCACAAGAGGTGGACAAACAAGATTATATCAATGACAAAAGTGTAAGTAGCAGCTTCGTGGCGGGAACACAAATCTTTTTTACTTTCATCTATCATTGCTGAAGTCTGACAGGGAGTTATTTTGTGATTTCAATGACTTAACGTTAAAATGTGGCAAGGTAATTTGTTACGAAAAATTGTATTGCGTGACTAGCGTGACTTTCTAGAAGCTTCGCGAGAGTTCATAATTTGTTTATTTTAGGATCTTGTGTAAGCGTTTCCAAAGCGGTATATTTTGTAATCTTTCTATAATTAGAAAAGATTTCCTACTCTTGCCGACCAACTCTAATATCAATTCGTATGCTGATGACACTCAACTCTTTCTCCATGGATTAAACCTATTACAATTCAGACTGCCCTGCACAGTGACTTCACTCTAGCATCTGATTGGTTTCAGGCTAATGGTATGACAACTAATCCAAGAATATGTCTCTCTATGTTGTTCGGAATTGACACTAATGATCTCTCTGTTTCACTTAATGGCACTGTCATCGATACTGCCAATACAATGAGACTTCTTGGTGTCGGTATCGATAAAGATCTTAATTTCAATGTTCTAGCCTGCGTAGATGGCGGTATTGTGTGGGTGCGAGGTTAAAGTTTTGGCGGCGGAGCCGTGTTCCAAAAAAAGAAAGTAGGGACGAGGCGGTTGAAATACTGCCTGCCAGAAAACCCCGGTATTTTGAATAGTCCGCACACCAGTGTGCGAAGAAACAGATTGGTCGAGGGCCATAGATATGTCAATCATGTTAGATGATCCTTTGCATATATTTCCCAATTAAGGGAGCAGATGGCTAACTGGAAAAGACGTAGGTGAATGTGGTGTCCCCTATAAAAAGAGCATAATTGATCACCAATTGCCGAAGTGGCATCTTTAAACTTCACAGCGCTGGAATTGTCTTTATTTAGCCATAAGAAACAAAGGTCAAAGAAAATTAAAACACTTTACAACTGCATCTGAGATCAAATCCTATCAGGAACACCTACAGAAGAATACACCACAGGAAATGGTTCCTCAGTATGCATGAAACAAACCAGCTTCGTGACCTTTTAACGTTAAGCCTAGTGTGGCAAAAAAAGATTTACTCAGTGAAAGTTTAGAAGGATGCATGTACTGTGTAGCGCTAGTAACCTTCGCGCGAGAGCCAAGAAAATAAAAAAACCTCTGTTTAAGCAAACTCACAAGGTCATGTTTCACATTATCACGAGCTCAGGATTCGTGTTTAGCCTGTCAACGCTTATTGGTAAACTATCTCGCGCAAAAATAGTCGGAAGTTTCAAATTGCAGGTTTCTCTCTGATTGGTTGATTTAATTGGGATCAGCTAAGATGACAAAAGTGGGTGGCATTTGAAAAATCATGGTTCTCTGGCAGGCGGTATTTCTCGCGGCCTCCCCGCTCGTGACGGCTCCACCGTCAAATCTCACTCGACTGTCTTCAAAAGCGTTGGAGATATCTGTATTAAAATGTTAGGATTAGCGTCTGGGATAGAGAAATTTGTTTGGGGTGAAAGTGGACCACAAGAGGTGGACAAACAAGATTACATCAATGACCAAAAGTGTAAGTAGCAGCTTCGTGGCGGGAACACAAAATCTTTTTTACTTTCATCTATTATTGCTGAAGTCTGATAGGGAGTTATTTCGTGATTTCAATGACTTTACGTTAAAATGTGGCAAGGTAATTTGTTACGAAAAATTGTATTGCGTGACTTTCTAGAAGCTTCGCGAGAGTTCATAATTTGTTTATTTTAGTATCTTGTGTAAGCGTTTCCAAAGCGGTATATTTTGTAATCTTTTTATAATTAGACTATTTGGAATGTTCTAGAACTTTATTGTAAAAGTATATAAGTAGGGTCAGAGTTACTTTTTAACTAGTTTTCACAAGCGAGAAGAGTTTGACGTTAGTTGTGTTTAGTCAAGTGTGACAAAAACAGTGTTTATTCAAGTTGGCGGAGGCCGTGTAAGTTTATCAAGTTAATTGGAGTTGGCGGAGGCCGTGTAAGTTTAACGAGTTACGTGTTGTTGTGGAGTTTTACTTCGTGAAAACTACGTTCATTTTGGAATAAATCTTCTTGTTGCTGTTCCGACAACCCTGCGTTCAGTTTAGTTTGTAAGCTACCTGTCCTCTAAAAGATTACCCGCGTAACATTGGGGGCCTGTCCTGGAGAGGAATTCAATTGTTTGCCGACTACAGTAACCAGGAAAGGACAGTTCGAGAAAAAGGAGTATACAGGAAAGTGAGAAGAACTGTTACGAGGAAGTATATAGAGTGTGTTTGCTGTGAACTGAGAAAATGAATAAGTTTATACAGATTGGAGAAAAGTTCGGATTGGAAGGAGAAAAACTGCTCGAGTTTAAGCAGGAGCAACAAAAGTTAGAAGAAGAAAGAAGGAGGGAAGAAGAAGAAAAAGAAGAAAAACGTCGAAAACATGAGGAAGAAAGAAGGACGGAAGAGGAAGAGAAAGAAGAAAAACGTAGACAACTGGAAGAGGAAAGAGAAGAAAAGCGTAGGCGGTTAGAAGAAGAAAAGGAAGAGAGACGTTGA